TTCCCCCAGGGAAGGGCTCTGTGAAGCCTTGCAAAATCACTACATTGGTCTGGTGGGGTTTCTGTGGACATCAGACCAAGGGAGTGGTATGGCAAGCACCTTTGGACAGGTCGCATGTACTGTGTGGCAGGAAGGCGACGGGGAGTGCTACTGCCATAGCTGCCCTTAAATCCATGAGGCAAAGCTGGAACCCCAAGTCGAATAAAAAATGCATCTGAAAATGACAGAGGGGGACTTGGAAGGCCTGCTGCTTCTCCAGAAACATTCCCTGGAACACTGTAAGCTGTCTTTAGGCACAGTCCCGGCATCTGAAAACCCATCCTGTAGATTCCCAAACTTCCCTTACATTAGGGCTGCCTTAATCAAGAGGGTGAACAGTTTTCTAATTGCACCTGTTGAAGGTGGTTCACTGTGGGAAATGTTTCAGATGGTCTACGAGAAAACTGTAGCTAATAGTCACGGGTGAAGCTGGATCTACTGATGATCTGTTACCAAAGCCAACCATGCTGGTTTTATAATGGCACTGGATGGCCCTTTATCAAGAAGAAGGGAGTACTTGGATCGCTTTATCATTTGGTGTCAGAACTTTGAGATGTGAGAGTTGGAGAACCGCAGTAGCCTGGAAGCATCCTCACTTTGTTTACTACCCACCTCAATTAGTTTAGCAGGTTATAGAACTTTAATACTTTTGTTTGCAATGTCGATGGGGCTATGCCCGCTGTAGGTGTTTATTAAGAGAAGGAGAGGAGTTGTCTACTTAGGATTAGATTTGCTCAATACATTTTTGGACAAGTGGGGAAACCTCCAGAGACGGCACTTGGCAAAGGGAGATGCACTGTAGTTGATAGGCCATTAAATGAAAGTGCAAATAAAATGGAGGAAACAGGAATCCAGGGATGGCTGCTCCCAGACAAATACACAAAATACAACTATAACAACTGCAACAACTGTAACCTACACAGACGCTTTTTCACCGTCTTTATTTTCACAACACAAATTGTCACACACCACAACAGCTCGGAGAGAGATTAAGCAATCTTTTTTATTTTTTCCAGCCAGCACGGGTGTTTAGGTAGCTAAACTGAAGGCTGTGACCAGGCTAACAGGTGTGTGTAAAGAGGTAACAGAGAATAAGAGTTTCCTTGAAAGAAACAACAATTGTAATTAGCACGAGCAGAACTGAAAGCTCCAAACCACTGATCCAACAGCTGAAAACAGTCACTTATCCTGACAATCCTGTGCCAAAGACATCTCTGATCTGTTAAGTAATAGCAACTGTCCAGGGCCAATTAAGTTAAGCATGTAAATTGCGTTGGCGTATAGTGGCTCAAGCATTTATAGAGCAAAAGTATGTTAAATGAAAAATTACTTCATGTTACGACCATTTTTTCCCCTCCTCATCTTCTTACTGTAATTTAATTGTTTGAAAGTTTTTTTATTCGGCTTCCAAAAAATGCTCGGAGGTCACACCAAAAATATAATTATTCATGTGTGTTTTTTCATTGGAAAACAATCTCTATACACGGGATTCTGCAGCTGACGAACAGTGTTGTGATATTCAGGTTGTCGTGTTAGTACAGATGTCACATACCTCTTTTTGTCGCTCCCACAGAGCACCCCTTTTGATAATGTTGAAGCAAAGGTCAAGATTCCACATGCAGTCATTCACCAGCATTCACCTTCGCCACTTGGCTGAGGTCTGGCAAGATTAATTCTTTGTGTCTTGCCATCTCTCTATGTGCCAGGTTCATCTTTCTTACAATGGAGCCAAGCAAACACAGGAGAAAAGTGTGTGCCTGAAAGTGCGTGTGTTTTTAAAAGACATTGGTGCAACCGTTTTAACAGGGCGACTCTGTTTGAATTAGATGTTCTAAACCCCCGCTTGCTAAATGGATTTCTAAAGTGGCTGTAGTTGGAGGCTTTCAATCGGATGCAACCTTGAGTCCTTTTTTATGTGAGCTCTGTAGGATTTAAGTGCCGGTATAACATGAGCACGACTGAATGCATGCTCCTCATTTTTTGAAATTGAAAAATCTCCAAAGGCTCTCCCCATTGTGCAGGCAATTAATGGAATGCTGGCAGCGAGGTTCAGGTGCTTAAAAGTTGTATTTTTTTTCTCTCTCTCGATCTCTTTTTAATGACTAATAAAGGATAATCATCGTGGAAAAAACATCATAATGCTGTAGGCTTCCTCTTTATGCACAATGATGTATAATGCATGCTTTGAAATGAAACGGCAGCGGCCTTCGAACCATTCCATCTCCAAACCTTAGTGTATTTGTTTTGCGTGCCACAGTGAGGCTTTTGCATAATAATTGTGAGTGTTCCCATTAACAATGCTTGCCTATTAATTTGATCTTTACATTTTTAAAGTTTGTCCATCAGGCCGCCAAACAATGGGTCCCCCAGTCGCTGTTTGGTGTAAGTGATTAGAACGCAGGTTAATTGCCTCTCTGAAGAGTTGTGCTGTTTCTTTTTAGCCTCCTTGTTCTTCATTTGCGGGCCTCCACCAGTTTTAACTTTGAAACAAATGAATAAATCATTTTATTCATCAATAAAATTCAATAAAATGTTTTTCCCTTGGTTTTGGAGATTATTTCCTAATAATTTTTAAACAACCATTAACATGTAATGACTATCTTAATATACAGTATGAGGCAAAATATAAATAAAATGCCATTAATTTCATATGAACGCTTGTTATGTGAAACTCTCTGGCTGATATCCGTTTGAAATGGTTTCTAAAGTTCTCGAATCCTTTCTTGGTGGTTTTGTTGAGGTTAAACTTTTGAATTTATAAGTTTAAAATCAGAACATTTTACTAATAAGATAAGATGTTGAGTCTGTGGCATTATCACTAAATACCTAAAGTAGATTTGTTTTACTCACTAATGAACAGTTTTAAGCGTCTGCAAACTGATTTTCCTCGTGACACAAGTGCATGTTGTGTTGTCTATTGCAATCAGGTGTAAATGAATTTGTCTGAATGCCCTTTTGATTTAAAGGTTGGTTCAGCAGTAAAAATACAAAACCACTGAAGAGAGAATAAAAGCTACTCCAGCCTACATTCAGCTTAATGACCTACAATGACTGAACAAGCAGGTGCAGATCTGGTTGTGTGTGTTCATTTAAAACTCACAGTAGAACTCATCTGGAGAACAGTTCAAATAGAAGAATGGAAGCTTGTTATACATTAATATTGTAATCAATCATAAAGTCGCTGATGGTGCGATCTGCTCTATGCAAAGGCGAGTTCCGCCACCATGTGCCGTTCATTTTATTTGGAGCGGTTGTGCTCGTCTCAGGCCCGCCGGGCCCGCGGGCCTGCCCGAAAACTGGACTGAATATCAAACTTCCATGTTCCAGCGTTCAGTTGCACGTTTTCTTGCAATCTTGGAACACTTCCAAAAGCTTTTTGTTTTTTCTCGTGCCCTCAGTCTCTCTCCCTTTGACTGTGCTTGACAATGCAGGGGAAACATACAAGCGCATCTCAGTAAACACGAGTGATGTGGTTCCAGAGTTTAAAAGCTTCACATAACACTGGCAGACACAACTTGGGGCTGTTTGTGTGACGGAAAGGAAAACTTGTTTAGAAACTGACAGCACTGTGTGTGTGTGAGAGAGAGAGAGAGGGAGAGAGAGAGAGAGAAAAGACTGTGTGTATGTGTGTTTATGTTGCTTTTGGCAAGTTATTCATTTGTGTTTTTTCTCTCTTTTTTTTTCTTGCTTGCTCTCTGTGTGGTTATCTTTTGAGTTGGTTGGTTTGGAGCTGATGTCCACCTTCGGGGATGCGCATAGCATGCATTTCTGAGTATTTTCACCTGAGGCTGCACTTGTTAGAGTCTGTGGATAAATGTATATACATTATTTATACAAATTCAGGGCGAGTGAAAGCAGGTTTAACACATTTACAGACAGGAGGCCAGGCACTGCAAGCCAAGCTCCAAGTGAGGATTGCAACGCTGCGCGCCGGGGATCGAGCTGGCCGCTTGCCCGTCTGTGACCAGCATCCTTAATGCTGCACATGAACACTGCTAACATTATCTTCACCGCCTCAGCAATTAAATGATCCCTCATATCATTTGCTTCATAGGAGGGAAAAGGGAAAAAAAAGTTCGCTATGATATTACATTTACATGAGACACTTAAAGAAACCTGTCGGCTATTTCTGCTGGATTTTTATTTTCTGTAAAAGTTCCAGCCTGCCTTAGCATTTAACAACTTTTGTTTAGTTTCAAAGCTGTGTTTCGTTTAAAGAAAACATGAGAGGAGATGGAGAGAGATAGGGAGAGGGGAAAGCTGGTTAGAAGTCACAGAAAGAATACAGATGTGTGACACTTTAGTTTAAGCATCTGTTCAGCTCAGTTTAATGTCATGTTGTGAAATACAAAATGCAACTCTGCATTTCCACACCATTGTACTTGTTACAAACATAAACCAATCATTTATGAACCTCATGCCAAGAATCCCTTTGTGATAGCAGAAGTATGTTTAAGTAAATAATAGAGTTCTAGTTTGTAAAAATGACATTTGTGCTGCTGAAGGCTGTGGGATGAGTGGAGTCAGAAGTTGAATCATAGTGAGTGCAGCAGCTCTTTGGAACTTCATTGTTTTTGGTATTAAACTGCTTTCATTATGTGGCTTAGAGACCTCAACTGAAGGTGTTAATTCTTGTTAATCCACCAACTCAGGATTTATTTTAGATTACATGTGATTGTGGGAAGCGGCTTCCATCAATTTATGATTTTTAAAATGTGAAGTTAGATACATGAAGTCGTAAAGATGCTATATGCAAGCGTGGCGTACAAAAATCGTAAAGGTCGGTGTCATATCATGTAAACGAGGTGCTACTTTGCTGAATCGTGAAGTAGAAGAACTTACAAGTGTTTGGGTTTGTGACTAGTGTCGACTTCAGTCTCGTGTTATTCCAGCGTAAATCAACATCGCTGTCATAAAGTGACTGGACACACCCCACTTACCCCTTTACCTTCTTCCAACAGGAGCTTCCTCCTCCTCCTTCAGACGCCTTGCCGCCTGGTTGCAGTCTCCACGTTCCCATGGAGCTCGAGTTCGCCGCTTCGTGTTTCCCTCGCAGCCCCGCGCCTCAGAAAAGCTACGGCCTCGTCTACGTCGACTGACCCGGCCGGCGCCACGAAGATCGGAGGGTCTCGTATTGTGATTTCATTTTTATTCACACTTTCGGTGCAGTGTTTCTTCTCATCGGCGCTCCGTTTTTTTTTTCTTCAATTCTTCACATTGACAATTATCATCACGATGAATATAAGAGACACGAGGAAATTTGGTACATGCTCGCCCTTGAGTCTTGCATTCCTTTATACTGGTTGGAAGTATTTTTATTTTTTGTGAACCAGGATTCATTCAACACGAGACGCCCTGCATCATAGCTTTAATGCCTCAAATATGCTTTTAATCTCAACTTACATTCCAAGTTAGTTAAGAAAGCAACACATCGCTCAGTAAATTAAGTCCACTAAGTAATCCTTGTCACCCACTCGTGTCGGATCCACATCATGTAGCGGGGATGTCCCTGGTTCGATTCAAGTGGGAACATTTATCCCTCTTTCTCTCCACCTGGGGTTTATGTCGCACTGTTGTCAGCTGTTAAATATAAGTTGTTTCCTCTCATACATGGACTCCGATCAGTGTTTGTGCTGAAAACTATCATTCTTCTCACCGTATCTTAAGTAAAGGAGTGCTTGAATAACATTTCCCCACAAAAGCAAAAAAAAAAAACAAAAAGGCAATGAAATGGAAGTAGGCGGCGTTAGTGTGCGGAGGAAGCGAGAATCTGGTGTTATAAGCATAATAATTATTTATTGAAATATGAGGAAAAAATTCAATTAGCCTCAGAGAGAGAGACACTCCCCAGGACCAGATAGTGATAGGAGCATTCAGAATGTCAGCAAGGAGGGGCAAAAGTCATAGACAAGCGGGAAGGAAAATGGCATTTTTATGTTTTGTGTACCCATGTGTGGAAAATGTACATTAGCATATAATGCACAAAGGTAGGTCATTGTTTAAGTCCTTGACAAAGCATTTATCCTGCATACAAGTCTGTCTGACAATGACTATGTGGCCTGAAATGTGTGTGTTGTGAAGCAAACAACTGGAATTCTCACCATTTGTTGTTGTTGTTGTTTTGTTGGTTTTTTTTCCCCCCTCAAACTTCCGACACTATCTGAAAGCATTTATTAAACTGTCTACAAACAAAATCCTCTTGGTGGTGGAGTAGGACTGCAGCAGTGTTAGAACAAACATGCAGTAGAAAGTAGAGCTTCTGCAGCGGCCACATTAGTCACTATGCATGTGGTGTATAGTTCACCTGGATGTTATGATAAAGTCCAAGGCAGCTGCAGAACCTAAACGCAGAATTTGAGAAGGTGGATGATAAGATTGTCTGATCAGGAGGAGGGAGGGACACAATTAATGAGGGTAACAGATGCTAAAGCTCAGAATCAGAAACAGCTTTCAGGTTTAAGTGAATTTTTCTGTACATTAAACATGCCATCGAAAGACTTTTTGATTATTCCATGACTTATTTAACAAAAAAAATGTTGACAAGATAAACAAATAAACACCATAGGTCGTCGTTGGGAGGCAAGTGTCGGGACATTTTTGATAAAAACAGTAACAACTACTGTACACGTGAAGAAACTCAGCATGAGGATCATTTAGGCTGCCATATGTTAAGAAAAGAAAAAAAAAAGCCAGTTTTGTCGATTTTTGGACACAATACGAGAAGTCACAGCTCACAGGGGAAAGATGCAGTCTTTGGTATAAGAGCAAACCGGACAGAACAATGATGCAGGTTCAGTAAGAAAAACGGATGTGGCACAAACATCTTTCACACCTACTCACTTAAATACAATACTCTTTTCAATGTACAGACTTGCATGAACATTTAAAAGACTTAAAAAAAAAAAATTTGCAGTGGTTTTTCTTTATCTTTTTTTTTCTATTTTTTTTTTTCCTCTTTTTTTTCTGTTTTTTTTGGAAAGCCCATTATTTTTTGCTCCAGACCTGCATCTCAGAGCTACTCATGGAAACAAAACAAGAACATGCTACAGTAAACAAATTTATTCTGGCGTGGACACCTCACGTCATGTAACACAAAGATGGAAACCCAGCGACGCAATAAATTATCTTCATTATTAAGCGTAACCAGTGACATACTGTACATCATAAAGGTCAAAGCACTGTAAATAAAAAAAAAAAACAAAAAAGAAAGAAATAAAAGGTCTTACAAATAAAAGGTCGAAAGTGAAACGGAACCCTTATACAGCAATGCTCAAAAAACAAACGTTTGAATGCCAGCAGACACAGAAAATTAATATTTTAAGTGTGATTCCTCTTTGATTTTAGTGTCTCACGACATAATTTAAGTACTGCTCGAAACAAATAAAAAAATAAAACACTGTACACACACCAAAGAAAGCAAACCAGAGGGATCTTTTTCTTCATTTCGTTGATTTCATTTTTTTTCTTCTTTTTTTTTTAGGAAATCATTGCTTTGCAATTTCTGCTTCATCACAGTTCTCTCCCATATGACCACATGAATGTAAACACCTGTTGAATTATTCTTTTTTTAAAATTTTTTACAACATTAATACTTTATATATATATTTGTACATATTTTCATTCACATCTGCACGGTTAGCTAGCATGGTAATGAAATAAGGCAAGACTCACATAACTGTGACATCACAAATTTTTTTTTTCTCTTATAATACTGATTATTAAGGTATTTGTAATTTCCTTCTTCTGTTCTGCAGCAGGCTTTGGTCTTCTCGAACAAAGGCAGGATTGATCCTTCTCCGTCTCCAGAATCACACTTTGTTTTGTTCCAGTTTTAAAGAAATAATAAAAAAAAAAAGAAGGGTGTGGAGGTTTTTTTTTTTTTCTTTTGTTTTGTTTTTTTTGCAGGAAAAAAAGGGGGCTATAAATACTATTATTTAAGCTGACATTATTAAGTGAATTTATTTAACACTGGTCTTTCTGAGGTACATAGTGTAAGATGATTTGGGGAGGTTGGTGGTGTAAGAAAGGGGAACCACAAGGTGACCATGAGAAGCAAATGACTTTCATTACAAGAGAAAAAACACATCGTCTTCTTACCAGCCTCTTTTTGTTCATTAAAGAATGTTCTTTTTTTTCTTTTTTTTTCAGACCTTTATTTTTATTTTTTCACCCTTTTCAGTGGGGTCAAGCTGCCACGGCAGGCATCTGGTGTGAGTTCAAAAAACAGACATGGTAGGTAAGAGTCTCTTGCCTGGCTGACTGCTTGTCCGTTTGCCTTTTACAGTACCAACAACAGCTAAAAGCCAGCTTTCAATTAGAATACACACAGGAGGATCCTCGAAACAAGCCGCCGCTCGAGTCACACAGCTGTCTGAAAGATGGGCAGTGTTATTCAGCTTCCTTTCTCAGCACAGAAAAAACCCCTCTCACGGTATATCACCAGCGCTAAAACACTCGGGGGGGGCTGTTCATTCTTTAAGTTGCAGTCTGATAGTCTTGCGGATGATTTAGATATCATCGTGTAGTGTCAAATGCAGAGTTTTGCTTCAAGTGTTTCTCTTTTTTTCCTTTCAACAATGTTTTTTTTTTGTTTCTGTGTGGTTGAGGAGAAGCGACTCTTCTGTCTGACTTTTTATTTTTTTTTATTTTATTTTATTTTTTGTACAATAAAGGGATCCATATGCTTTTTATCTGTGCACGTCATGAGTCTCTGTGCATGTGTTTTGTCCAAATCTGCACTTCAAGTTGAACATCAAAATGAGCTCAATATAAACAAGAGTTCTCTCTGCTCTCCCGCCCTTCACATCATCACACGGCCAAGTGTGAGCTGGAGGTTCGTTTTGGTGAAAGCATCATTTTGAAGTTTTTTTGTTTTTTTTCCTCTTTTTATTTTTTTTGGGGGCTGCAGCAAAACTCTTGAGAATGTCCGCGCCGTCGTGTGTGTCGTGCAGTCCCCGTCCTAAGCTCTCTTGGCGTGCAGCATTTCGATGAGCAGGTTGTTGCAGGGAACGTCGCCGTTCAGGTGCTTGTAGTAAAGGTACTCTTCGGCCTGCAGGCTGATGGCTCGGATCTCGGGCAGCCGGAGGAGCAGCTGGCCGAACTTGTCCGTTTGCTGCGGGTAGTTGCACATGACGTAGTCCAGCAGCGCTGCGTTTACCTGCTCCTGCACGCTTTCTACCAGGTGAAAGTTCTCCAGGTTCTTCACATCTGCAGGAGGAAGCAAGAGAAAGGACGCTTGAGTTGAGCCGTTTTACAATAACTACGCAATTATAGTTTATTTTCTATTTTGGGGGTGTGTGAATTTAACTCTTATTAGGGACAAGAGACACCAGAGAGTGGACAGAAGGCAGTTTCAGTGTCACAGTACGCTCAATCATGACTATTTAACCTAAATAATCTGCTGTAGAGGTCATAACGGTTCGCATTATGAACACACAGAGGTTAGAAGCAGCTCGTGTTCTCATCTATCAGGGGACAGCATTACAAGTTCGGTCCTGGCTCATTTTCACTTGATATTTCACCGCATGATGAAATATCCCTCCTTTCTCGCCTTTTTTCCCTCTGAATCGTCTTTTGGGACCACAGTGTAGAGGGAATCAGGTAAAGGCAAAAAGGTTCTTCTCCTGAGACACGGATTCCCCAGGAGTCCATGAATTATGTAGGCCAGAGTTACAGTCATATTAGCGCCACAGCTGCTCCTTAACCTGCTCCTTAACCAGCCATCCTTTTTATTTTTAATCACGACAAAACAATGCGCTCTAATTATTGTTATTTTTTAAATATAGAGATACAAGTTGGTTTTTTTTTAAGCACCAATTTTGCGAAAAACAATTTTTTTAAAAGTGCAATTTATGTGCAGGAATTCGTCTCGGTGGAAAGTCTTCTTTCACTATTAATTCCTTGTGCAAAATACATTTTGCATCTTTCCAAAATCCTACCTTTCCGTGCAGCTATAAGCACTTTTCCTTGACAATAATAAGCTCACTGGGGGTTTGAGCAGATTATTGCAAGACAAGACAAAAATTTGCTAAATGGATAATGGTGAACCCGAGCGCGGTGTGTACTTGTCATGATTATGAAGCGCAGGGCTGCAGAATATTTAATCAGGTAGCAGCTCTGTGTGTGCGTGTGTGTGATCTTTTATTAATCTGTTTGACCCCAGGTCGAGTGTTCTCACAGCGGGCTAATGGGCAACGACACAGTCCCTGTGTACAGCTGACACCTCCGGACCAACGCACGCTAAAATATACCGTCTTTCACGCCGAATCTCTGCCGTTCTCTCAGACGCATACGCAGACACTAATCCGTGGAAATACACATATTTCTTTATCTCTCACACAGTGCCCCCTTCCCACACACTTATTCACACACACACACACACACACACACACACACATGCACCCCATCCACCCACCCAGAGCATTAGGAGGAAGGAGGGGGAGATAAATCAGCAGCTAATGAGGTCTAGAGAATGAGAAGCAGGTCCTTCAAGGCACTTCCATCTATGATGCACTCTACCATGCTATTACAATCTGTATGCATGTGTGTGTGTGTGTGTGTGTCTGTCTGCTCTCGCGCTGCTCGTGTATGTGTGAGTGTGTGTGTTCACCCTGACCTCTGGGTGACACGGCGGGGGGCTAAATAAGGCCAAGAGGAGGGCAGGAAGAAGAAATGGTGCAGGAGGGGGGGGGAGGAGGGGTGTGGCCCCGTGACAAAGGAGCCTCCAAACAAACATGACATGTGCTTTTTCCTGCTGCCACTCAGCTGTCCGACCCCCTCGCCGACTCCTGAGCCAGCCCTCGCACCGCCAGCACCTCGGTGTAGCGTTAATATAGCCTTACATAAGCTAGCCCAGCGGAGTGCGAGTGCGCTTTAAGCGTTAACACATAGACATCCCACGCAGGTCAACGAGGGGGCCGCGTTTTTTTCTCTGTTTTTTTTTTCTCTTTCTCTTCTTCATCTGCACATGAAACAATTTAACCGTGTGGACGAGACATGGAGAGAAAAGTTTGCTCAGAAAGTTCGGAAAAATGAGTTTGCACACACGCACCTCTTTAAAATAGTTTTGGATGCATCACGTTTATATTAAGCTGACTGTTGAGCTATATTTGCGGTGAATTTTATTTCCATACAGGAAGGTCTAAATGCAGTTTCAAAGACTTCACACTGCCAGGAATAAAACCCCAGCGGGGAAACGGTGAGTTCTTAATAGCAACTGGTATCGAGCCTCAATACATCCTGAGCTCTGCTTTGAGGAGACTCCCTAGAACCAAGTTTCAGAAAGTCTCAATGATAAAAAAAAACCTACCTGTAAAGAGCAGCCTACCTGTCCAGACACTGTAGCTGGAAACAAACCATTAGCTAAATATAACAAAGACATCTGAATGAATAAGTTAATCCGCCGTCTTATTATTTTATCAGATGTTTTCAGAAAACTTTTCCAATGCATTTGTCATGTGTTTTATTATTTGTTAATTTGATTGTTAAATAACAACAAAAAGATGCCATCAGGGTCTTAACATTCCTACAAATTCCCCAAAGAAAAGTTTTGTAGGTTGAATTACTTGATTGTTGCTAAATTTATTTAAACCCTAAAGGTAGTAAAATGTAAGTAAACTAAGTCTGAACCGACTGGAATCATTATATCACATGTTCATTGGGTTTTAAGGTTTTAACTGTAGGACATAAACTCCATCTGGGATGTTAAAATAAAATTTTAAAAATCCCAGATAAAAGTACAGAGGACAATCATGGCGTCTTGAGAAGCTACATCAGACGACATCTGTCCACGTGTTGAATCATTTCAGCCATAAACTATCCAACCACTGAGTACAGGACTTAGATTTAAGAAAAAAAGCAAAACATAAATTGATTCCAAGGCCAAAAGAAAAACTACGAAAATTTCATTCACAATTTCAGGAAGTGAAGCTGAATTCTTTCTGGCACGTTATTAACAAAAAAATGAGGTAAATATTTCACAAAATATACTTTTTGAGGCGCGACAATAATTTAGTCTGTAATTTTATTTTATTTTTTTAAACATCATGCAAGGACGAGTGTTTCCAGTAGAACAGACGGCTTCAGTAACAAACACTGCATGCTGTTTAATAATCAATTCAGGGACGTCAGAGCCTCTTTTCGGTGTGATTTGGTCAAATTTGCAGAAACATGACAAGGTGTGCCCGGATCACAGCGAAAACATGCGAGGTGTTGCCATGGTTTCTCAGTGAACATTTTTTTTTTGTCTGTTTGAGCGTGAGTGTGTGTGTGTGTGTGCACGTGGAGAGGAGTTTGATGCGTGTGTGTTTGTGGATGTTGGGGGGGAGAAACTATAGAGAATTAACACCCAATGTCTCTGTCAAGCTAATTAGGGGGAAAGTGAGGCAAAAAAAAAAAAAAGACAGCATTTTAATTGCTAATTATTACCAGAGCCTCTTTTGAAAAAATAATGAATCAGAGCTTCCAAAAAAAAAAAAAAAAAAAGGAGAAAGAAACGGCACAAATGACAATAGCTTGATCTCTACTCCCAACTGCAAAAGCCAGTGGGCAGGAAAAAAAAAAAGAGGGACAAAAAAACTGCTCAGATTGAAAGGAAGTTTGTCTTAATTTTGCTACTAATCAAATCAGACGGGAGAATTGACTGATCAGTCAAAGGCAGGAGGGGGAGGAGAGGGATAAAATAACAAATAAATAAACAATTGATCAATGGTTCCCAGACAGTGTCAGGTTGGAGTATTAAATGTGTTAAGCACTCTCTCCTCTTCCTTCAATGCCCCCTCGTTCCCCCGCCCCTCTCCCTCTCTCTCTCTCTCTCTCTCTCCATCTCATCCTTCAGTCACTGTGGGACTAATTATCAACTTTTTTCTTTTTTTTTTTTTCACATAAAACAGCCACAGTTCGTTGCAGTGCCGCGTCCGAATACTCAAATGGAAACCCCGAGGTCCCACAGAATACATTGTTCCATTTGACGGCCGATCATGCTGAAGCCAGCGACCTAATGCAACAGCGCGCGCACACACACACACACACACACACACACAAGCGTTCGTTCTCTCTCTTTCACAGAACCCCTGAAATCTCCGCTGTGCTTTTTAATTAGACAGGATCTGCTCTGTGCTGTGTGTGCGTACCTCTCCGCATGTGCTTTTACACTCTTTCGCCGACCCTTACAATCAACCTGCTCCAGGGACACACACACGCACAGCATTTAGACACACTGCACATTCACTCATGCAAATGCCTGCTCCATTATTTCACTCTGATCTCAGAGATGCCTCACAGAGTGGACAATGTGGTGCAGAGAGAGAGAGAGAGAGAGAAAAAAAAACTTGGATCAGAGAGATAAAAACACATCAGCTCGTGTCAAAGTTCACCATCCTCTGCTAAACCAAACATTTGTCACTTTGTTTGTGGCTGTAAGAGGCCAAAGAGGCAGAAAACATTGCGTTGTACAGTAAAACAACCGAGTAGCTGTGAATGATGACACTTCTGTGCGTATTATGAGCCAGCGTGCAATAAAATAAATCACAAATTTAGCTTCATTTGCTTGGATTTAATCAGTATAAAGAGAAGGTCACCCAGAATACCAACCTGACCTGTTTTATAACCCCATGTCTACATCAAGCCGTCGCCCATTTCCAGTCATTCCTTCTTACTAGAAGACTCTGCGATGAGGTCAACACTTAAAACATGCCAAAACAACACCGTGTCTCTCACAACACACTTTTACTGGTTCAATCAATAAACCTCTCAGTCACATGCTACCACAACACACTCTGCCTTTCAAACATGTGTTTTCTGCCAGGTACAAAAAAAAAAAAAAAAACACATAAAACTCCTGGATCATAAATAGTTATTGAGTGAACCGCAGTCGGTAAACTCGGCCAATTAAACGTGAGCGAAAGACAAACCGGTTACTTCCTGCGTAGGGCGGGAATTAAGGGGGAGGCTGGGCTCTTCCAATCGGGACTTTCACAGGCGTTTATATGAGCCTATCAAAGCTCGAGCACCTTTTACTACAGCGGCGGCGCTTCAAAGGGCGAAGAGTTGAACCTGTGTCCGGGCTAAGTCCTCTTTATTGCACCCTACCGGATTGTTATCAAGTCAACACTGTGCGCAGCTACTTTATTCATCATTAATCTGCCTCGGCTTGGCTCCAATCAGAGATGGGGGCGTTGAAAGAAGCGAACCCGGTGCCCTTTGACTCT